TCACTCAAGCTCGCTGCAGCTCCTATAAAAAGCGCTAGTACGCTCCTTGTAGTAGTTCGCTAAGCTGCTCGCTCAAGTAAAGCTGCTAAGCTCACTACTCTCCGCTAAAGGGCGAAATCAGCAACCTTGCATCTTCTCTTATACTCGTACATTTGAGCCACAACTTGCTAGCAATCCGCGACACCCTTGACGCGAGAGGCGATCGAAACTAAAATCGTGGATCTACCGTGTCGGTGTTGGCGCACGTTGATACGAAACTAGTGCTTATCTGGCAGGCAATTAGCGCACGGCGCAGAGTGGAATCTTCCTTGCAACGGCGCGGCTTGAGCTTTGTGTTGAGCACCAGTGGACAGCACGGTGCCGTCATCAGTTTCTACCTCCTGCTACACGAACAACAGATTTGCGAACCCCCTTCCCCCAACGTGCATTTTCGCCTCCCCCCATCAACCCAAATTCCCGCCACTTTGCCAACCTCACATCCGCGCTTGTGCTTCTCCCCAACCACTTTTTGTGACCTTCCTCGCTACACCAACTTCTTCCTTGAAACAAAGACTACACTTTCCACCTCATTTCTTATGCTTCCTTTACCTCCAACATCATTTTGCATGCCACCAGCCCAATACCTTACAGAATGACAGGCCGCAAAAGGGGCCGTGGTGCCCAAGACTCTGAGCCCACTTCTCCTCGTCCGCCTGCCCGTTCGCGACAAACTCCAGCCTTCGCGATTCTTTCGACCTCCTCATCAGACCTTGCACCACCCCCTACTCCTAAGCCTCAATCATCTTCTGCTCCCTCCCAGCAACCTCAGCCAACAACAGCGCCAAAAATTGTCTCGGACAAACAAAAGGAGATTCTCCAGCAGGTCCTTAAAGCCACCCTTCCTGATTCTCCGTCTCCATCATGGCCTCAAACCTCTCACCCTCAGCTCTCGACTTCCCGTGCCCATCCTTCATCTACCTCAACACCTCCACCGACGACTACAGCAGATGCTCCTAATCCCACAGCCCCTGCCGACAACACGCACCCACTATCACACTATGAAACTGTTGCTTCACCTTCTCGAGATCCCCCTCCTCCTTCCCCTACCCCTCACTCTACGCAGCCATGCCCGCAACCCTGCCCGCCCTCATCAACCTCCGATAACCCACTACCTCCTAATTCTTGCCCCACATGTCGACGCACCTTTGCCAACTCAGGTTCGTTGGCTCGTCACCTTCCAGCCTGCTCTCGCAACACCGCCACACGTCAGCAAGCTGCTCGCCCTCCTCCTCCCCGCTCATCAGCCCCAACCTCGGCGCCTGCAGCCGCAGATCGACCTGCAATTCCTCAAGCCACTTGGGAGGCCGTTCCTTCCTGGGATTGGCCTTCCTTCTTCAGCCCGGCAGTCTCACCTGGCCCTATTCTCCGCCGAATCCCCTCCCGCATCCGACTCCTCATTCTCGATGCACTTCTCATTCCACTGCGCCGCCTTGCACAACATCCTTCTGACGTCGCTGCACACCTCATTCTCTTGGCATTTCCGCGTCTCCTACTGCGCCTACCTTCTGCCGCTGCTCCCACACAGCCCCTTACCTCTTCATGTGCTGCCTTAGCGCGCCGCTTCATCACTGGTGACTGGCACTCTCTTTTCAGCGAAGCCGTAGCTGCAGCCACTCCAGCCGCTAGACCTCTGCACATGGCTTCAGCACGTTCTACAGCGCAGCAGGCTCGTCTCAACCGTGCGAAGCGGTTTGCAAAATGCGGGGATTGGTCGCGGTCACTGGCAGCACTGGAAGCTGGCGAGCTAGCTCCTCCATCATCAGAAACAGTTGTTGCCCTCAGCTCCAAGCACCCACCTGCTGCAGCAGAGATTCTTGACTGGGTACACACCTTCACTCCTGCAGTCGCATCACAGCTTACCGTCCCTGTTCTCCATGCCGCTCTACAGTCCGCCCCCCGTGGCACAGCTGCTGGACCTTCTGGGTGGTTCATTGAGCACCTCAGGGACACGTTTCTTTTCTCACCAGCAGCATCTCCCTTCTCTCCTCCACGTATTCCAGAACTGGCTGCAGGGTGACCTTCCGCCCGCAGTCAGGCCTTTCTACACCGCTTCGAACCTCGTGGCCCTGCAGAAACCGCATGGTGGTGTACGTCCCATCGCCATTGGGGAAGTGCTACCACGCCTCCTTTCACGCTGCATCACTCTCCTTTTTAAGCAGCAGATGCGAGAGACATTCCTTCCTCACCTTCAATTTGGCGTAGCAGTTCCGGCCGGGATCGAGATTATGTCGCACGCAGTGTGCTCCGCCTTCTCCCTTCATCCAGACTGGGTGGTGCTTCAGCTGGACGTTGCAAACGCGTTCAACTCGTTCAACCGGGTTTCCATGTTTGAGGCATTAAGGCGCTCCCCATTCTCCAGTCTCATTCCCTTCTTCCGCCTATTCTACTCCACCCCTTCACCTCTCCACTACCGCAGCGGCCCCCTTCTCCACACATTCCAATCAGCTTCTGGTGTTCGTCAAGGCGACCTTTGTGGCCCTTTCCTTTATGCCCTAACACAGCAGCTAGCCATCCAACCAACCCAGCAGCAGTCTCCCTCAATTTTCATTACCTCATACGCAGACGATACCTACTTGGTCGGCCCTCCCTCAGACGTCTTTGCCGCATACACTGACCTTACCTCCCGCCTTCTCTCTCTCGGCCTTACAGTCCAACCCTCTAAGTGCTCTCTATGGGCCCCTATGGACCTGCCCGAACACTGCATTCCGCCCCCGGGTATTTCCATCGCTGCAAACGGTCTCACTGTCGCTGGCGTTCCTACCGGCTCCGACGGTTACATCATCTCTACAGTTCGTGACAAACTCGATTCTTTCACTTCCTCCCTCCCCTTACTGCATCAACTGCAGGACCCACAGATTGCCTCACGGATCCTTTCCTTATGCATCACTGCCCGACCTTCTTTCCTCCTCCGAACTGTCGCACCTTTTCCCGAAATCCAAGAGCTACTTTCTTCATGGGACTGCACCATTTTCAGCCACTTCTCTCAGCTCCTGGGCTCTGAGTACTGGAGTCCCACCTCTGAACAGTCCACATCGGCCCGCCTCCAAGCCTCGCTCCCTATCCGCTTAGGTGGCTTCGGCATTCGCAGCTCTGCATCCATCGCCCCCCTCAGTTACCTTTATAGCTGGGCGCAGACAGTTTCGACCTTATCCACCCACTTCATCACTGATGGTGCTCCTCTTTTCCGCCCTTACGTCACCACGGACTCCATTAACCTCCTCGACCCTTCAATCTCATCCACCATGACCATGCTTCCTCAAGACATTCGTGATCGCTTCCCATCATGGCTTGTGCTTCAATCGGGCTACCCTCCTAAACTCTTTACTCATCTCTCCCAACACCTCGAAGCCGATTTGCTGGAGAAGGTTCGAGCCACAGTAACGTCCCCGCTTCGCATTGCTCGTCTAACCTCTTTGCAGGGCCCGCATGCAGGTGACTGGCTTACTGTGGCTCCATCCTCCCCGCACATGCAGCTTTCAGAGACTGAATGGCGCATTGCAGCAGCTATCCGCTTAGGCCTTCCTCTTCCTCACCTTTCATCTTCACTCACCTGCACCTGCAACTCCCCGTTCACCGATCCTTCCATCCATTCTCATGTCCTTCGCTGCCCTAGCAACAACGAGCCTACTAAGGTGCACGACGCAATCAAACGAGAAGTTCATCGCATTGCCTTGGAGCTTGGGTTCTCTGCGCAGATGGAAGACCAGCATCTCCTGCCTGGCCGCCGCACAGACATCACTTGCCGCGATATTAGCTCTGGTACCACCTGGGCCTTGGATGTTTCTGTTGCTGATCCACAAAAGGGGTTTCCGCATTCCAACGCAGCTACGGTGATTGGTTCAGCAGCAGCCACTCGTGAAAGTGAGAAGACCACCCACTATGCTGCAGCACTTCGTGACCGTCCAGACATCAAACTGTTTCCCCTTGTCATCGAAACCTTTGGTTGCTTCGGCTCTTCGTTCAACAACTTCCTTCGCCAATGCAGCCGCAAAGGGGCGTCACAACTCCGCGACTTGAGTGGTGCCACAGATTCTCTTCCCCAGCTGTTTGAGACCAACTTCTACAAACGGATTTCTCTGGTCCATCAACGTGAGCAGGCTCGCACTGTTTGTCGTCGTGCACAAATTCGTTTTACCGAGGGCGTCAACCACGCACCACCCGAGGTGACTTCTCTTTCTGCAGCTGACTTTGCCTACTTGGGAGAGGACCATTGAGACATCACAGAGGCCTATTTGTAGGCCTCACAATAGGATTAGCCTGCATGTCTCTCCATACACTACGTCTCTGGATTTGCCTTGTATCCATTGTACATTTACTATAGTGTCAATAAAGAGGTGGCATGCATCCCCAAGGGTCGCTTCGTCGTGTTGTGGAACAGCAACTGTATGCTTGAAATCTGCAAGTCTCAGCCAATGGTGGCAGTTCAAAACTGGCTGGGTGCAGAGCTGTGGTATGGTGCGACTGGATGGCATGGCATGAATGGTACACTGTGCTTTGTGATTGGCCTTCGTGGTTGATGGGGAATGGTCATGGCGGAAGGTCAGGCAGGTGCGGTCAATCCCGACATGGAATTCGAGGAGGTTCCCGAAGAAGCAGATGGCTGATTGATGCATACCAGCCAGAAGTTCGGCAGGGCATGCATGCGGGATATCTGTGACGGTGGGATGTAAGTGAATTCCGCATGAATTCATCACCCTGATACTATCTTGGATTCCTCCCTGACAGCCAAGCAAGCTTCCCTCCTGACTTACAAATTCTCACAGCTCATAAATTTTTCTCCAGCAGGCTTCTTCCTGTCGAACAGTGACAACGAGTTAGTCCCCTGTTCGCCCCCTCTGGTGTTTTAGGGCTTTCTTCGCCCTCCTGGTCGCTGCTTACCAAATCTCACTTGCACACATGCATTAATGGGATCCGTGGAAGTGCTCGTAGCAACGGCTTGTCGACTACGCAGAGTGGAGTCGATGTCTGTGCGTCGACGAAGAGACTACGCTTCCAGAATTGACGCTGATCCGTTGGACTTAGCAGCAACCTCTTATGTTCAGGGATCATCGCAAGCGATCGGCATCAAACGGGACGCTAGGGGGAACGCTTCCACCCACAATGAAGAGTCGTCTGGTCGCTTTGCTGAACAGGAAGCTCTCTGCCCTTCACAGGAGTCTGTGTCGGTTGCCGAGGTAGGAGCTGATGGGACGCATGTAACGGCATCTCCGTCCGTAGCTGAGTGCTGGTTGGAACGTACCAGATGCCACGTATCAAGAGCAAGGACGCCAACTGCTTCCGGAATCGTCGAACGGGATCCTGTGAATCCTGATTCGTCGTTTGCGACTCGAAAGACGGATGTCACTCCAGTTGCTGGAGGGTCGAGTCGCATCCTGCCTGGTGTCAAATGCGAAGAGCAGTTAGACGAAGATGACGATGACTTAACAACTGTCGTTCATCCATCTCCCAAGCGTCAACGATCGGTAGATTCCATTGGTTGTAAAGAAACCGTCGACACCTCTCCTTGCCCGTCTGATGCCAGAAACAGCACTCCTATATCGCAACCAGCTCGTGATCTCAATGATTGTGGCCCTGTGAACGAGGTGAGACTTCCAGTCCGTCCTCCTGTGATTCATCCATGTCCTATGTTTGAAAGCTGACGCTAACCGTCTCTCTGACTTTGCAGGCAACAGCCGTGTACGATACTGAAATATGGAATAATCTTCTTCTGAAGGAGCAGCAAGTTCAGTCTCCATGGGGGTACATAGGTTTGTCTCAGAAGCATCTCTTACCTGATCACAGACGCATCATGGTCAACTGGCTAGTCGAGGTAAGAATGGCGTTCGCAATCTTTCGCAACACGCTTCAAGTCCATGGATCGGATCTGACTCTATTGTTATGTGAATGACAGTTTGCAGAAGAGTTTGAGCTTCAATGCGAGACCCTGTCCCTTGGGGTGAATATTTTGGACCGGGTCCTTGCCGACGGACCTCCAGTTCAAACTGGTGATCTTCAATTGCTAGGAACGGCGTGTATGCTGGTTGCTGTGAAATTCCAGGAGTCACAGCCACCTAAGTAAGTTTGAGAAAGGATCCTCTTCGTCGTATATCTATTTCTGTTTCTCCAGTAATTTCCACTTGCTCATGTCTTTTTTTTTTTGGCTGCAGCATGGTTCAATGTTGTTGTCAGGCAGCAGAAGGAAGCTTCAGTCAAGAACAGGTGCTGCAGAAAGAGTTCGATGTTCTGAAGACGATCAAGTTCGACTGTGCTATGCCAACCGTCCACACCTTTTTGTGGTAAATATTGATGGTTGTGTCATTATTTTAGTAAAATTTTTTCGCTTAGTCTTCATAACTCAGCGGCGTGACTTGTTTTTTTTCTCTTTATTTTATTTCAGGCATCATCTAAAGGCGGTCGATGCCGATTCTAAGCTGGAACAGATGGCTGATTACATTGCGTGCTCTTCATTGTTGGAATATGACCTTCTCAAGTATCACCCATCTGCAATCTCAGCAGCGACCGTTCTGCTCGCTGCATCAGTGCTGAAAGGCACGCCATGGACTTCCAGTATCGAGGTGCGTATACCTCCATATACATGTTGGTGAGGTGCTCTGGAGCTGGTTTGAAAAAAAAGTGGTGCTTTGTTATGTGCAGTTGTTTGTGGGGCACACTGCATCAAGCGTCGGTGACATCATCAGAGTTCTCCAGCAGGGTCTTTCTACGCCTCCTAAACCCACTTTAAATGCACTGAAGACCAAGTTCGAGAGGGAGCAACACCTGGACGTGGCTACTTTACTTCAGGATAGCATTGCTAATATCTGCCCTATACGCCCGCCTAATGGCAGTGGCACTGCCTAGAATATGTAGTATGCTCTTGCAACAATAAGGTGCTCTGATGGGTTTCTCGTGGTTTGAAGCGCCATTCGTTTTCTTGTTGCTGCTCTGAAGTTGGGTATCCATCAACTATGTCTCCAATTTTTTTTGATTGAGTAAAAAATATAGCCAACACACATTGTGATTTTTAAAATTGTGTATTATGAAAGCCAAGCTGCTTGTTTTTCTTGCTAAACTATATATGTGTTAGTTCTGTGTAGGCTATAGTGGGGTAGCCCATATGGGGTACAACCCGAAGTTAGGGTTAGTACTTGAACCCACATTTCATTCAATGCAACTATCCCTACTTGCTATCTTGACATGGTTTCAGAGCAGTAGGTCCGTAGGACCCTTTTTTTTTTTTCGGGCCCACCATACTTAGCTTCCGACTGCGGTAACCGCGTTACCCCACTACACTGCGTCGCGTTGCCCGGCGCACGCCCTGCCTTGCCCCGCGTCGCCCTGCCCTGCCCTGCCTGGCGTCACCCTGCGCCAGCGCCCTGCCCTGCGCCGGCGCCCTGCCCTGCGCCGGCGCCCTGCCCTGCGCCGGCGCCCTGCCCTGTGCCAGCGCCTTGCCCTGCGCCAGCACCCTGCTCTGCGCCGGCGCCCTGCCCTGCGCCAGCGCCCTGCCCTTCGCCAGCGCCCTGCCTTGCGCGAGCGCCCTGCCCTGCGCGAGCGCCCTGCCCTGCGCCGGCGCCCTGCCCTGCGCCGGCGCCCTGCCCTGCGCCGGCGCCCTGCCCTGCGCCGGCGCCCTGCCCTGCGCCAGCGCCCTGCCCTGCGCCAGCGCCCTGCCCTGCGCCTGCGCCCTGCCCTACACCCGTGCTGCGGCCCTGCGCGTCGCGCCCTACGGCAGCCTACGCGTCGCGCTCTGCTGCAGCCCGCGCGTTGCGCCCTAAGGCAGCACAGGAGTCGCGCGCTGCTGCCTCGCGCGTCGCGCTCTGCTGCAGCCCGCGCGTCGCGCCCTCAGGCAGCCCGTCGCGTCGCGCTCTGCTGCCCCTCGCATCACGCGCTGCTGCAGCCTGCGCCAGCGCCCTGCCCTGAGCCAGCGCCCTGCCCTGCGCGCGCTGGAGCCCTGCCCTGCGCCAACGCCCTGCCCTGCGCCCGCGCCCTGCCCTGCGCCAGCGCCCTGCCCTGCGCCAGCGCCCTGCTAAACCCTAAATAAAATTGAATAATAAAAAAAAAGGCCCTAGGTGCTTCTGCCCTAGGAGCTATTCCATGCTGCTGCCCTGCTGTGGCCGCGCGCCGCCCTGCTGCTCTTCCTGCTGTTGCTGCTACTCGTGCTACTGCCTTCACTCCGTACTGCCCTAGAGGTCGCGCTCCTCCTAGCTTGCCCGCCATGACTTTCCTTTGTCGTACTGGTGGGAGTGGTGACGGCGGTGGTGGCAGCAATGGGAGTGGTGGCGGCCGTAGTAGCGGTCACTGTGGCGCTGTTTGGTGCGGAGTGTCTGGCGGTGGCCAGATGCAGCTACGGCGGCGTCCGACCCTTATGCCCCGGCAGCTTCGTGAGTGGCTTTACCAGCGTGGGCCGTCTCCGAGTCCGGGTCGCTGCCTGTACGTCATTCGCACAGGTCGTCGAGCTGGTGAGACCTGTGGGACACCTGGTCACGCACAGTCCCGCTGTTTCGCCTATTTGACTGACGCCTGGCGCACAGAGTTTGGCGAAGAGGCTGAGATCCCCCCCTGGCTTGAGCTGCTTAGGTCGGGCGTTGCTGTCATTGCTTTAGACTATGACGCCATCCTTACTGCCATGTCTGCTTTGCCTGGTGGTGCTGAGCGTGACTGTCACCTGTGCGTGCAGTACGACCCCGGTATAGAGGTTGCTAATCTAGGTGCTAGTGAGGCTGCTGCCTTAGGTGCTAGCGAGTCTGCTTCCTCAGGTACTGCGCCTGCTGAGGCCTTGCACACCTTCACGCTTGACTCAGGTGCTTCCCGCTGTTTCTTTCGTGACAGTACTGCACTCACACCACTCACTGCACCTGTTGCAGTCTCTCTAGCTGTCCCCTCAGGGGGCCCAGTTCTTGCACGGTCCACCACTGTGCTTCCGTGCCCGGCGGTTCCGTCTGGCTCACTGACAGGCTTCCACCTCCCCTCGTTCTCTACGAATTTGGTGAGCAACGCAGCTCTCCAGGACCAGTGGGTTGACACCTTTACCCCTGGAGGACAGCGTGTGGCGATCTATACGTGCTCCCGGACCGGCCGCCACCTGGCCATGTTTACCCGTCGGCCAGGGTCGAGTCTTTACACACTGAAGACTGCACCTCCTCAGGTAGCTGCTACTGATCAGGTGTCTGCGTCAGGCCAGGTAGCCTCCCCTTGTTCGTGTCGCTCCATGTCGCACCAGACTCTTCTCTGGCACCACCGTCTGGGTCACCCCTCCTTGCCACGTCTACGTGGCATGCACCGTCGCCTCCTTGTATCTGGTCTTCCCAGGTCTCTCCCTCCCCTCCCTGCCTCGCCTGCGCCACCCTGCCTTCCTTGGGTCGAGGGGCGGCAGCGCGCCGCTCCTCACTCCTCGTTTCCCCCGACAGAGGCTCCTCTGCAGACCCTCCACCTGGACGTGTGGGGCCCAGCCCGCGTTCGTGGACAGGGCGGTGAGCAGTACTTTCTGCTGGTTGTCGACGACTACTCGCGGTACACCACGGTCTTCCCCTTGCGCACCAAGGGTGAGGTCCCTGCTGTCTTGATCCCTTGGATCCGAGCAGTTCGTCTCCGGCTCCGCCGCAGGTTCCGCCAGGACCTTCCTGTCCTGCGTCTGCACTCTGACAGAGGTGGTGAGTTCACCTCCGACCTCTTGCGGGCCTTCTGTCAGGGGGAGGGCATCGAGCAGTCGTTCACGCTTCCATGCTCACCACAGCAAAATGGGGTTGCTGAGCGCCGCATTGGCTTAGTCATGGAGGTCGCTCGTACCTCTTTGATTCATGCGGCGGCTCCCCATTTTCTGTGGCCGTTTGCGGTCCGGTACGCCGCGCAGCAGCTCAACCTCTGGCCCCGTGTCTCCTTGCCGGAGACCTCGCCCACACTGCGTTGGACGGAGGAGGTTGGCGATGCGTCGCGTTTCCGGGTCTGGGGTGCTCGTGCCCTTGTCCGTGATACGTCTGCGGACAAGCTCTCCTCCCGCACCATTCCCTGTGTCTTCCTTGTCTTTGTCCCTGAAGCGTCTGGCTGGCAGTTTTACCACCCCACCTCGCGCCGTGTCTTCCCCTCTCAGGACGTCACCTTTGACGAGTCGGTTCCTTTCTACCGTCTCTTCCCCTACCGCACTGCCCCTCTCCCTTCCCCGCCGCTTTTCCTCGCTCCAGGTCCCCCTCCTGTAGACCCCCTCCCGCCTCAGGGTCCTCCTTCTTCTGGTGTGTCTCAGGTAGACCCGCCCCCCTTGGCTGAGCCTGTAAAGGTCACTAGCGACTCAGGTGCTGCTGCGGGAGGTACTGCTGGGGGTGCTGCTTCTGAGGGTGCTGAGCCTGCGCATGAGGTGCTGGGGAGTGCGGAGCCTAGGGGTGCTGAGCCTGCGGCTGCGGAGTCTGGGGTGCTGAGCCCGTCCGTGAGGTGCCGGGGGGTGCGGAGCCTGGGGGTGCTGAGTCTGCTGGCGTTCCTTTGGGTCTCGTTTCACGACGCGGGCCTATCTCACCACAGCAAGCACGAGAGTGGCTTGCGTCGCGTACCCGCCTGCGGAGTCGTGCTACTGGAGCTGCTTGTCGTGGAGGCGCTGGGAGTGCTGGTGTCTCTGGTCCTGGAGGTGCTCGTACTGGAGGTACTGGAGCTGCCGGGACTAGTGCTGCTCCTGGAGCTGGAGGTGTCGGTTCCGGGGGTGCTGCTGCTGGAGGTACTGGGGCTGGAGGCCCTGGAGCTAGTGCTGTCCACCCTGGAGTTGGAGACCCTGGAGCTGGAGGTGCCGGTTCTGGGGGTGCTGCGGCTGGAGGTACTGGGGCTGGAGGCCCTAGAGCTGGTGCTGTCGACCCTGGAGCTGGGGGTGCTGAGTCTGCTGGCGTTCCGCTGGGTCTCGTTTCATGACGCGGGCCTGTCTCACCACAGCAGGTACGAGAGTGGCTTGCGTCGCGTACCCGCCCGAGGAGTCGTGCTGATGGAGCTGCTTGTCATGGAGGCGCTAGGAGTGCTGGTGTCTCTGGTCCTGGAGGTGCTCGTACTGGAGGTACTGGAGCTGCCGGGACTGCACGTGCTCCTGGAGCTGGAGGTGTCGGCTCTGGGGGTGCTGCTGCTGGAGGTACTGGGGCTGGAGGCCTTGGAGCTGGTGCTGTCGACCCTGGAGTTGGAGACCCTGGAGCTGGAGGTGCCGTTTCTGGGGGTGCTGCTGCTGGAGGCCCTGGCGCCGGTCCTGTCGACCCTGGAGTTGGGGACCGTGAGGCTGGAGGTGCCGGTTCTGGGGGTGCTGCTACTGGTGGCGCTGGAGCTGGAGGTTCTGGAGCTGCTAG